AATAATGTTTGGAACATTATATTTACTCACACATTAATCGGCTATCCACTCACGTAAACTAGGGAGTGACCCTAACATTTTGAGAACATGTATTTTCTTAACAGGGATGTTATTATTTACTATTAATGTTAGTACTATTTTTACTATTATTATTATTTAATATATTGTAAAAAGTGATGGCTATTGCTGGTCTACGACCATAATAAAGTTTATTATAACAGGTAAGGACTGTTGCCTCCCCTTCAACTCCCCCCAACTGCCTCTTCCTTCTACCTACGCCCTTTTGGCCAGCCTGCTCCCTGCCTTATAGGGCAGCAAGAGTCCCAGCCACGTAGCTCGGTGGCTGGTTGCAAAGCTATGGTGCAGGGGCTTCTTGGCATGCCGCAGCTCTAAGGCTGTAAGAAACCCCTCAGCCTCTGTACAGCATGAAGCCGCAGCCACTGTGGAAAGCTGCAGCCACCCTGACCCAGCAGCGCAGCATGAAACTGTAACTGCCCTGTGAAGCCGCAGCTGCATCAGCCTGGATCAGCCCAGCAATGGGAGCAAGAAGATGGCAAAAGTCAGCTGGGATGGCAGAGCACAAGGCGGCTGGGCCTGCGGAGTACAGGAGGCCAAAAGGGCACAGGTAGTGGGAGATAGGCAGGTAGGGAGAGTTGAAGCACCGCTGCAGTCATAAGTGCAGGCGGGCAGCCAAGCAACCAGGTTTTGGTCATGTGACTGGTGGCTGTAATGGCTGTAACTTCAGGAACCATTTGTTCAGTGCTGCTGTAACTTTCAATGGTTGCTGAATGAATTGTCAGGTGCAAAGGATCAGGACCACACCTTCAGTTTCAGTTCAGAAGATTTATTATTCAAGCCCACACATAAAAATCTAGTGAACTAATGGTCAGCTTTAAATGGTCAGTGCTAGATAAGGGTCAACTGAATTCAAGAGAGGCTGGATGTGGATTCTTTGTGGCAATGTAACAGTTCCAAAGGGATGACACAATTAACTCCACCCTCCAGCTCTACCTGCTCTTCTATATAAGTGGTCAAAACTCAAGGACTACTTGTACTGATCTATATCCTAATACTACAGTAAACTGTCAATATCTGTGCTAAAACTTTATGAATATTTTTCCAGGGTGAAAGTACAGTGTCAGGCTATTGAAATGTAATTTACATTTAAGAAAGAGTTGCATTTTGTCTGAAGAAGCATTTGCTGAAATTTGAACTTACAAGTACTACTTCAGATCTGCTTCACAGAACTAATTAATACATTCAACAAGGTCTTGTGTCCTACTTCAGGAAGCAGACTTGATTTCTCTGAGTTCTAGAAATAATTTAGAAATAATTTTAGTATCTGAAAATAACAGAAACCCTTCTTTGGTTATACTTTGGCTCCTATATATTAGTAATGTGCTATCTTGTGATATGACCCCACCCTCCTAAACATTGTGTGTGATATCCCAACCAGATTCATGTGGCCATCTTCATTGGTCTCTATTTGTCTTAGGAGAGACTGTCAGAAGTAATGTGTACTAAAACAATGTGGGTCATTTTGATGCATTTGCATGCTAATCAACATATTTAGTTTTAAATATGTATCTTTTGTGAAATGAAAATATCTGATCAGCAATTTGCAATCATGCCAATTTACATAGAAATTCATGAAGTTATATAATACATACCTTATGACATCTAGATCAGGCATGTCAAACTGCCGGCCTGCGGGCCGGATGCGTCACGCCGAAACCGCGCCCACCCCATTGTCGGCAATGGGGAAAAAGTCCCAATACGTCGCACAACGTCACGTGACGTAGCGAGTTTGACAAGCCTGATCTAGATATTCTTAATTTAGTTATCCCTAATCCAGGTTATATCAGGACTGTGTGCCTAGAATTTCCAGCCAGCATGGCTGATAAAATTAGTTTCAACATAATCCGATGAAAACTAGATTGTAATTCCACATCACATGGCTTGAAATCAAACATTTATTTTCTGGGTTTTTAAAATTAATTTATTTTAATTCTCCAGATGTTTTGGATTGTAGGACCCATCACTCATACCTCAAAAAGTCAAATGATGTATTGGCTGGCTGGCTGGCACTAGGTTATTATCCAACTCTAGGCTGGATAAAAGTGATTTATTGTAGTTTTGAATAGTGCTTTTTGTATAATTAATTGAAATAAAATTGTAGTCTACTCTTTTTATGGTTCATACTTTTTTTTTTTTAAACAGGTCTCTTTCTGTGATGCTGTGGATTTAGTTCGTGTAAGAAAAGTTTACTTGCTTGGTGGATATGCCTGTGTTCCTCAGCAGGATTTTGTTACCATTGTCCTGAACAATTACAGAACCAAACTATCAAAAGCTCTGGCCGTATGTATTTTTTTTCTTCCTAATTTGCTGGATTCTCTGTGGTCCCTTACTTGTTTTCTGTTCACAAATATCAGCTTTGTATCCAGTCAGGAAAAGGCTGATTTCAGCTGGGTAGATTTAGCTTGCAGCATTGAAGTATTTTAAGCTTAGAAATTATAGTCACGTGAAAAAGTTTTACTCTATTGTGGGATCCTTAATGCTCTCTGAACTGGATTATTTTCTTGCAGGTGTTTTATTATTCAACTAGGTAACATCATCAATGCTAGAAGCGGGTGGGGTTTGCTTTCTGTTAATAGCTTGCCCTGTCCACATTGGTGGGAGTGTTCTTGGTAGTTCTTTGATTAGGCTGTTGTGTTTGGTTGTTTGTCTGTTGTTAATCCTGGTAATAATCTCTGTTTATCTGGGTATTGATTGCTGGCAAGGAACAATTTTGGTCTTTTTGTTTTCTTTTTAGCTTTTTGATTGTCTCTTTTGAATGATATGCAGGTGTTGTTTATCTCTGTGAGCTTGTTGATGGCTGATTTGTGTGAGTGCCAGGCTTCCAGGAATCCTTTAGCATTTTTGGGCTTAGCTAGGTCTAGGATGCTCACAGTTTCCTAGTTGAAACTAAGGTTAAGTCTGTCTCTGTGTTGTGCAAGTCAGAAGTACAGGTAGTCCTCAACTTATAACAGTTCATTTAGTGACCATTTGAGTTACAATGGCATTGAGAAAAAGGGACTTATGACTTAACGACCATTGCAGCATCCCTATGGTCATGTGATCAAAATTCAGACACTTGGCAACTGGTTCATATTTATGATGGTTACAGTGTCCCAGAGTCATGCGATCACCTTTTGTGAGCTTCTGACTAGCAAAGTCAATGAGGAAGTCAAAGTCACTTAACAACTATGTTACTAACAACTGCAGCGATTCACTTAACGACTGTAGCAAGACTGGTTGTAAAATGGGACAAAACTAACTTAACAAATGCCTCGCTTAGCAGCAGAAATTTTGGGGTCAATTGTGGTCGTAAGTTGAGGACTACCTGTACTGAGCATAACTTCTGACAGCTAGCTGGTGTTCTTTCCTATTGGTTCTACTGTATGTGTGAACCATTCTGTATATATAGAGCAACTGGTGCAGGTTGATCTGTGCCCAATTGATATTTTCAGCAGGGGTCCACGTACAGAACAAAATGGCATTGTTTTCATCCAAGTAGGAGTGAGGGTGTGGGGGAAGAAAGAGAGCAGCGAAAAAGCCACTGGTAGTGGAGTGGAGAATGGGAAAGGAAGGTACTGGGAAGATGGAGGTGGGGACAGGTTAATGGGATAGATAGACTGAACTGGAAGCTGTTGAGGAAAGAAAAGGCAACAACACTGGTTTTGCTTTACTCCCTCTCCAGATTTTATTTCATCCAAATCCTGGAACATTCAAAGCATTCCAAGGTCTCACTTGTTGCAAATCATGAAAGAGCCCCCAGCAGCAAAAACGCTGATTTAGGAGAACTTCTGGAACAGAATGGTTTGTTCCAAGTTGAAGACAAAACATTTTTCCCATTTTTGTGCACGCTTATAATAAACTCTTTGTTCATATTCTACACCACTTCCATTTTACTGTACACTCTATAATTAGAACTCTTCTGTTAATGGCAGCCTTAATATTCACAGTCATTTTTTATGATGACTTTTAATGCCAACCGGTTCGTTTTTGTTACGGTCAGCTTTGTAAAACTTTGAAATGAAGGCATAGAACCGGTAGTGATATCTTGACTTGAACCTGAAGTATTATTATTAAGCACCTTATTATTCATGCTGATAGACTAAATCTTTGTCATTGGGAAGTGATCTATCCCTCCTAAACTCTTAATTAACATCTTTATACTGTAATAAGCTTTAGATGGCCAGAATTGTGGAATGTGGGAGTAGGTTTGTTAAATTTGTATTATTAATGAGATGAAGAATGATGTAAATAGGCAATCATCGTGCACAATCCTACAATCACTCTGTCAGTTAAATGCCAGGCAGTATCAGAGTTTGATACACATCTTTTCTCAGTCATGGGTTTTATAGCATACACTCAGGAGATTCCCTACTATTTCATTTTTTGGATGGGACAAAACTGTGTTCTTTTAAAACTAGAGGTAGAAGGAGGTATGGAGCAAGCAGTTTTGTGTCTGAGTTAAGAAAATAAGTGGAGAGTATCTTCAGCCCAATTGCTCTGATGAGTGGCTGAGATTACCGTATACCAGGGGGTGTCAAACTGCTGGCCCACAGGCCGGACGCGTCATCCGGAAGCTGCACCCACCCCATTGCCGGCAATGGCAAAACCGTCCCGATACGTTGCGCGACGTCATGTGATGTCGCGAGTTTGACATGTCTGCCATATACCATGAAGCCAAAAAACCAGAGAACTTTGTTATAGTACAGCATTGAAGTAACTTCTAAGGAACAAAGAATTGCTCTAATTCAGAGGTCTTCAAACTTGACCCTTTTATGACTTGTGCTGGCTGAGGAATTCTGGGAGTTAAAGTCCACAAGTCATAAAAGGGCCAAGTTTGAAGACCGCTGCTCTAGTTAGAGATTGTGTTGTTTTAATTTATTTTGTCTTTATGCTTTGGAAGCCTTATTCTCTCTTATCTTTTTTCTCTGTACAAGTAGGGCATTCTGTGTAATTTTAGATTGAGTTCAAGATTTACTTTTCTACCTTTTAATTTCTTGGGAGCTGATATTTAAGATGAAAGCCATCGTTCTCCCATGGTCATTAATTATAGTGGACGAGCAGTGTCTTGTGGTCTACTGGGAACTTTGTACAGATTTTTTAAATTGGGTTTCATATATTTCTTCAATTCCTTTTTTAAAAGAAATAGTTTGATTTTTACCTCTTGCCAGATTTATTTGTCCCATACTAGGATAGGATAGAAATTCCTGGAATCTCTAATCACATATTAGGCTACAAGTACAGGAGATTTTCTAGAAGGTAGGTGGTAAGGCAGAAAATTACCAAGATGCTACACTAGGATAGGAAATAGATGCAGGATGTGTAGACTAGGAGGACGTCTGGGAGAGGAATTACCATTCCTTTGGTGGGGATTATTATTATTTTATCTTGTTTTTATTTGTTAGTTCAAAGCAGCTCCCTATTTTCCACACAACAACCAACCTAGGAAGTGGGTCGAGTGGTGATAGAGTAAGTGGTCCAAAGTCACACAAAACCAGCTTTCTTGCCTAAAGGAGGACTAAAACTCATTGTGTTCTGATTTCTAGACCAGCACCTTAACCATTACACCAAACTGGCTCTGTATCAAAAAGTTTTATGATTTTAATTAACAGATCTTCTAAGCCAGGGGTGTCAAACTGCTGGCAGAAGCCGCGCCCACCCCATTGCCGGCAATGGCAAAACTGTCCCAATACGTTGTGCGACATCACGTGATGTCACAGGTTTGACATGTCTGTTCTAAGCTGTTGAAAAACATAGAAAAGACTATATTTTAACCCTTGTTGTCAGAGTTGTTTTGGATTCATCTCATATTCCTGAGAAAAAGTACGTATTTTCCCCTAACATCTATATATTAAGCTTGTTACATTGCATGTCTCAATTTAATTTAGTGCTATTTAGTGTTCCATTAATCCACTCCAGTTGGAATATACTTTCTTTTCTTTGCACATAGGAATTCTTTTTTGGCTAGATTATTTCCTGATGCCATTTGATATTCTAAAATTAAAGTACGTGATATGAATACCAATACAATTCAGGCTTCTGTGAAGTTTATTGCTTTATGTGATTCAAATATGAATACAGTCAAGAACTACTTAAAGACTGGATGTTTGCTAAGTGATAAGGATTTTATTAAACAGATGGAATCAGAAATGGCAGAAGATTTTTTTCCCTCCACAAAGCAGAAATCCAGTTATGCCATCTCTGATAATGCCCAATTATAACATACATATAAACAGAAATAACTGTTAGCTAAAGTTAAAATTTTTAGGGAGGCTTTATCTCTTAACTGATACAAATCTTTGGTGCCTATTATGTATGAATTTTACAAGCTGTATATTTTCTCACTAAGGAGATTCTTGAAAAAGGGAAATAAATCAAATAAGACCCTTAAACTATTTAATATTCAGGGAAAAAATGACATTTTGTATGGGATTCAAGATTTATTAATTAAGTTGTTTTTTTAATTTTATTCTAAGTTGTATAATACTAGATTAGACTTGATGTCATTGAATCTCAGAAATAATCTAAAATTACAAGAATTCGGACCTTATGCTATGTTCTAATTCCTTAGTTTATCTTGGTAAAAGAACGAAAGACTGGCTGAGTCCGAGGGAGAGTCAAGTAGGGAATTAGTCTGGAATTGTTATGTAGGCACAAGAAGGCAAAGTTCAACCCTCCTCCCCTTAAATGCCATTAAACCTTATTTAGGCTGGCCCCGGTGCAAACTGCCAGTCCAGGAAGACTCCTGTGAAATAGACATGAGCAAAAAAAAGTGTTTTTTTTCTTTCTTTCAGCCCATTTACTCATCTTTCATATATTTGTTTTATGATTTTGTCCTCATTCCTTCTGGTTATATGAACAAATCAACTCAATGTGATCCTTTCATATTGGCCACTTGCTTTTCTATTCAATCCACATTTATTTAACACAGCAGTTCTCAACCTATGGGTCGCGACCCCATTTGGGGTCGATCGACCATTTCACGGGGGTCGCCAAGCAAGGTTGTCCGCCATTTTTTTCCCCTTTTCCGACGGGTGCCTTACCTCCCTTGAGCTGGGCCAGCTGGTGGTCGGCCTGCTCCGTCTCTGCCGCTTGCCAGCTACGCCTCGGCCGGCGCAGGGGGTGGAACCACGCATGCGCAGCGCTCCCGGGCAGGGAAAGTCCTCGACTTACGACCGGTTGGGTAGTCCTTGACTTACGACCGGTTTAGTCCTCGACTTACGACTGGTTGGGGGTCGCGGCATTAAAAAGGTTGAGAACAACTGATTTAACACCTGTTAATTCCTGATTCTTTTCCCCCTTGT